ACTGGATGTGAGCTCCTGAAAAGCGCTGCGATGACAACCTGATCCACCTTTCCTCTCCGCCTGCAAGCCCGCAATTCCCCACGTGCCTTCAGAGAGACGCGAAAACCGCACATGCTCAGCCAAGTGGTGCCTCACAGTATCACTTGTGTGTGTGGCCCGAGACATGGGCAGAACTTGGGCTACACCACTCGGTGGAGCGCAGCAACCGTGGCTACCCAAGTACTACCCACCCCGTAAACTGAGTGCTGTTAACTTACCAATGTGTCTGGTTGGTAGCTGCACAACAGGCTTTTCAGAAATACAGATTCCTGAGCCTTATCCTGGAAGTAAATCCATGTTTAGACACGCTCCCTTATGCTGGTTGGAAAACCTCTAACCACTGGCCTGTCTTTTAAAAAACCGCTTTCTGGTCCCCAGGCCACTCTTTCCTTCACAGCCAGAATTTCCCACCTCCCGTTCTCTCCTACCCACCCCTCATCCCTCTCAGATCGGCCCCACCACCAAAACGGTTCTCGATGGGGGTTCAACAATAACCGCCACACGGATATCCCTACAGGATCCTCCAGTTCCCGGTTTGTTCAACCTCTTGAACCTGGAGGAACACTCTTGGTTCCCCTTCTACCTCTCCAGCCACCCTTCCTGTCTTCTTTGGGAACCCTCGTCTCCCTAGCCTTTAAATGTGGAGGGTCCCTGGGGCTCACGCAGTCCACCTTCTCCTTCCTCTCTGCCCTCTCCCCCCATCTGGCCACCTCCTAGGCAGCACCCCTAAATTCATATCTCCAGCCCAGGCCTCCCTTCTGAGCACCACACCCTCACATCCTATATTGAGCATATTTCAAAGTGTTATTGAACTCTTTCATAAGGGACCCACAAAAATAAAAGTTACATCAAAAGAGGATATAAGAAAAGGTTAAAAAAAGATTTTTAAAAAAGAAGTTATAAGAAAGTAATATGCATGACTGATTTTTAAAAAAGGATCCGGATACAAGACTGCTAAATTAGACACCAAACTGGTGAGTGTCCTGCTGGGCGGTAACTGGCAGGTCTCTCTTCTCTACCAAACAGAAATCATTTGCATCTTCTCTAAGTCACGGAGGCTGGGTCCTAAAGGATAGTAAGCGAAGTTACATTCTCCAGAGCACCTGAGGGGGCTCCTGAGACAAGGCTGAAGCGTGACATTAAAAAGTCACTAAATCATCTTTTATTTCCAAAATTTGGGATAATTTTCCTTTTCCCTGGGGTCTATGAATTTGGATGGGGAAACATAACATCTTCATTTTCCTTCACGATGCATGTAGGTAACAAACAGTACCTGTGGCTTTGCCATGAACAGAAATCACATCTTCTTGTCACATTACAGTTGGTGCAGATGTCTTGAAACACTGTTTATGCTACTTAAAATTATAGAATTTAGCAAACCCAACACTAGATCTTCTCATATGATATAAACAAAGAAATAGAAATGTTCTTTTACCACGTATTTGCTATGTTTTGATAACCTTATTTCAGCATCTCTGGTTTCCTTTATAACCCTATGCGTTGTTTTACAGGTTATTCTAAGAAAGGGCCCACAAGTCCTCAGAGAAGCCTTTCCTGACTCCCTGTCACACTTTCTCTTCCCACCTCAGGCTTCCTCCTTCCAGCACTTTCTACCTGAATTAAATAACAAATCAGTGGTTCTCCCACTAAGGCTTAGTGACTAAGCAATGGGACAAAGGGATGGTGTCCATCTTATTTATCATCGTGTCCCCAATGCCTTAGCATGGTAGGTCTGACTCCTAAGAGACTCCCAAGAAATACCTGTTTTTTTTAAAAAAAAAAAAAAAAAGACCTATAGAATGAATGAGGATCTGTGACACGCGGAGCATGCAGACCGTGGCACACATTCCTTTCAAATAAGGACCCAAGGTGAGACCCTCATAGAGCAAACCGGCTTGTTCCCCAGAGCCTGCCCTACTTGGCCCAACAGCAGAGCTTCCAGCCAAGCCCATGTCTCGGCTCAGGCACTAAATCATCTTTATGTGTAAGCCCCAGCTTAGAGCCCTCGACCTGGATCTCCGTTAATACCTTCCAAGGCAAGGATTAAAGGATCTGCTCATGAATTAAAGACATCTGCTCAGGCCAGGGGGTTGGAGGAGCCGTAGGATTCTTGTGGGGGATGGATTCCTACTCCCATCCCAGCCAGCTATAATGAGTTGGAAACACCGAAGCCAGGCCCAGGCTCACCATCAGGCCATCTGGGAAGAGTGCACATCAAACTGGGGACCCAGAATGACCCTGGGGAACCCAAAGGCTCTTCTAACTCCGCACTCAGTGTGAGTGTGTAGCCAGTACCACATGACTACAAAGCGAATTACTTAGAAGTGGTCGCACACTGGTGTGTGGGAAGAGGCCCTGTGGACCTAAGGTGGTCAGAGGGAACCGCAAACTGGAGCTGAGAAGGGAGTGATGAGAAAGGTGGGACGATTGTCCAGCTGGCGGCCCGTCCAGCTGGCAGCCTCTGCACCCCTACTTAGGCTATCAGGGAGCTAAAGAGCAGGTTTCAGGGACACCCCAGGAAAATGGCTGGTGTTGCTATTTCAGAAAACAGCACCTAGCAACCTGGCTGCTTAATCACTCAGGTGAGCCCCTGAGAACTATTGCTGTGTCTCAACCCTCTGTCTACCCCTCCACCTTCCAGGCCACACCCCCACTCTTGTCTGATGCTCTATCTCCTCCCACCTCTCTGTCCACCCACCCATCCCTCTCCTCTACGGGGAATAGCATTTAATCCCCTTATCTCCCCCAGTTAACATGGGAATCAAGACTACACAGACGTGAAATATGTGGAAATGCTTGCACACTCGAAAGCCTTCCTCAAATGTACCAGGTTTTGAGGAACCTCCATACCAGGGTGCCTACGGAAAATGGAAAATCCTCAAATGTACGGCTCCAGTCAGTGCTGCAGGATGGGCCAGGTGATGGGCCAGGCAATGGGGAGCATTGCACTCCTCCCCTTCCCCACTGGGACCTAGGATGCCAGGTGTGGGGAAAAAAAAAAAAAAAAAGGGAAGAAGTAGGAGTAGGGCGCGCGGGGGAGTGGGGGGCAAATAAACCATCAAAGTCTGGGTAATGTAAGAGAACTTAGGCTGTCCTTATAGCCCATGCATCACTCTCAGGCCCACTGTGATTCAGACAGCCTACAAAACCTACCACAATGGCCAAGCAAGACACAAGAGCCCTACAGAACAAAACCACAATGCTGGGCGAACCCTCCAGGGAGGCAGTGTGGTTGGTCTATCCATTCTCAAGAGAGGCTCCACTTTCAGAAGAAAGAAGAGAGGAAAAAAAGAGCACTTAAATCCTTAACCCCTCTGCAATTTCCCCCCCCCCCCCCGCCGCCCCCGCTCCCCCCACCAGGGGCAAGGAGCGAGGCAAGAGCCAGCTCCAAGGAACTGTGATAGAGAGAATGCCAGCAGCACAGGGCGTCCCCACTCACATCTCTCTGCTCCCACCCGTTCTGGCCATTCACAGTCCACCACCACCTCCTAACTGGCTTTTCCAGCACCTTCTCTGGCAACTTGAGGTGAAAGCTATGGCTCCCACTTATTGGGCTCCCAGGGCCCAGCGCTGTGCTGGGTGCTTCCTGTGTTATTTCTGACCCTTTCAACCCTGCGAGATGGGTATTATGACCACCATTTACAAACAGAAAAACTGAGGCAGGGCCCAAGGTCACACAGCTCCTGAGTGTCCAGCTGGCTAAAAGCCCACGGTCTTTCCACTCCATCACACTAGACAACAGAGAAGTAAGAGGAATAAAGTATTGCTCTGAGAAAATTAATCCGATCTCTCCCATTCCAACCCTTGCTATTCAAAGGGCAGCTTTCATCATGTCTCTCCATTATCTGCAGAATGGAGTCCCCAAAGTCGGCATTTAAGCTTCTTTACGATCCACTCTCGCAGTCTTATTCCCCAATTCCCAGACTCAAATCCTTCCTACCAGCCAGCCAGGCCCACCTCGCCTCTGCCCACATTACTGTCTGGAATGGTTTCCTTCCTCTGTGGGCAACACGGATTCCTTCAACCAAGCATGGACTGGGGAGGACTGCATGCCAGGGCCTGGGCTAGGTGCTGGGGACACAACAGCCGGGACAGGGAGGATCCACTGCCACGGAGCTCAGAGTCTGCCCTCCTTGTGAGGCGTGAGCTGGGGGCAGTCAGCGCCCCACAGCCTGGCCTTTGCCCGAATCCACAGCACTCAGTATTTGCCACTCATACGGCAGTCGGCCATTCCTCCAACTTACACGCCAGTTCTGCTTCAAATCTCCCTCTGTAATGTGTTTATTTCCGTGGGAAAAGTGCACTCCAGGTTCCAAACAGCATTATAAATGGCAATTAGGTGCCAGGCCAGCCCACAGAAGCCTATTAAATATATAATGTCGACTCTAAATACGTGCACATGAAAAGCTCTGCAGGAGAGACGGGGCAAAACATCTCCTGCTTCCTGCACCTCCGCCCACCAGGTTCTGAGCTTCAAGCCACCATCAGGGAAGAGGTCTCAGCAGTGGCTTTGGAGGAGGGAAGCAGGTGGGGGGCCTGGGATGACAGAGATGGAGTGGGCAGAACCCTGATTTATAAACAGGAGCCTGGCTCTAATCCCAGCTCTGCCTTTAGAAATGGGGTGGCCTTGAGTGAGTCCCTTCCCTCTAGAAGCCTCACTTTTCTTTTACAAAATGAGAGAGCTGGGTGAGATCAGCAGTTTTCAGACTTTCAAATCTCACAGCCTGGCAGGATATGTTTTAATGTATATGTATATATGTATATGTTTAAACATAATGTGTAATTTCTTGTTTCTATAAACAAGAAAAGACTTTTAAAAAAATCCCAATATACCAGCACAACTTTCATTTTTCAAAAGGATACTGTAAACCACTCCCTATCCCCAAATATGGACATCACCTCAGGAGAATGAACAAGTTTTTAAACTGAAAATATTTGGATTCATGAAAAAAACCACTCACCATTGTCATTTTTCCAACTTGTCTGTGGACCAGTGAAAACGTCATCACAGCCCAGCTCCAGGGCTTGGCCAGCTGCAGCAGGGAGCTGAGCTGGACAGCAGGAGGGGTCAGTCCGCCGCAGGCATGAGGACAGAACAGCTCAGCCGCCTCAGCTGCAGGCCCTGAGGGCAGAGACACCCAGCCAGGAAGGGCTGGAAGCCACTTGTCCCACGTGCTGACTGTGACTCCTTCTACCCCGATATTCTTCTGGAAGGCTGAGGCTCCCAAAAGAACCTTTTCAAAATGTTCCCTTTTCTGAGCAAAAACTAATCTATATTCATGTGCAACACTTGGAAAACGCAGAGAAGCATAAGCAAAGAAGTAAGCAAAAGCCACCCACAACTCCACCTTCCAGACCAGCCACTGTTCACTTTGCTGCACTGCTAATTCCTCCAACACTTATGTAGCCATCTTCAGCCACCTGGGATTTGGTTCTTCATCTGCTTTCCCCTTCCTATCACACTAGGAAACTTTCCCATACCCTTAGACATCCTTTATTAGCATCACAGTATTTTCATAATAAACATAGCACTCTAGTAAATATAAATATTCTTCATAAACATGACTTCCCATGAGATGGACAGGGCCAAAAGTCATTTAACCATGCCACTACTGTTGAGCATGTACGCCATTTCCATATTTTTGCTATTAAAACATGTGGTGGGTGTACATCCTGCCCATGAAACTCTACAGACTCCTTTATACTTCTTTATATGGCTCAGATCACAGTCCAGTGCTATGCACATATCAGCCCTCAGTAAATATTGAGTGAACAAAGAAACTCGATCCACTCCCCGGATCTGGAAGCCCTTGCCAGAGGGACACAGAGTTTAGATTGACAGAAGCTCACCCTCGTGTCCACCAGCCACTCCCCACTGACGGTGCACCTGTGTCTCACACCTGCTAAGCCAAGGGCTTCGGGAAAGGAGAAAACGGCAATTCCTTGCTGAGGATCCCCAGGTTCTCGTGTTCTCAGCAAACCTAACCGCTCTTCTGAACCCCTGGGTGGAAGGCACCTGCAGACCTCAACGCTGACTCCCACACGCCCTCCAGGCTGTTCACCCACTGCCTCAGGAAAGCCATGGCCGACCCTCCCTCTGAATGAATGGATGGCTCCCCTTCAGGGGAAGCTTCCAGCCCTTCGGATATTAGCATTCGCTGTCCTGTCTTTATTTGCTCACAGGACTGACTCCTCTGACGACCCACGGAAACACAGGATGGCAGGGACAATGTGTATTTTGCTCTCCACCCAAAATCCAATCCAGCGCCCAACGATGTGGTTGATAAATATTTGTTGAATGAAACTTCTTTCCAGTCACATTCCCAAGCCCTTTATTTTCACAGGAGGGAGGGGGAAAGGGAGAAGGGAGGAAAGCAGGACCTCCTGAAACAGCCCAAGTGCAAAGACCTCACAGGAAATCCCACCAGAGATGGTCCCCTCTGCCCCCTCCTGGGGTCCTGCCTGTCCCAGAGGCCGGCCAGGGCCAGCAGGCTCCAGGGAACAGAATGCAAGCGATGGTCAAGCACAAGGAGACATGGGTGAAGTGACTCTGCCCCACGCCAGCCTGGTTCTCTCCCAGAGGGAGAATGGTCCGACTAGGGGTAGGGAGCTTCCAGAAGAAGGGCCACGCCCCACTGGGGATCCCAAAAGGGCAGGGCATTGGGAGATGGAAGTACTGAAACCAATTCAAGCCACACGATTTTTTTCTCCTCCTGTTTGCCCAGCATCCTTGCCACACCCAAAAGGGGAGAGAAAAAAAAAAAAAACAAAACTTGAAAACTCTGGGTTGGAGAGGGTGCCGGCCACAGGAAGTTCCTTGAAACTTCAGGAAAAAAGAAGCCAAGATGGTCTTAAAATAAGGGAGACCAGGAGTCATGGGAAAAGGTGGAAGGAGGCCCGCACATGATCCCACCGCACAGCCACAGGAACACCAGGCAACACCAAGGCCAACCCTGGCAGCTCTGGACCCTGCGGGCACACCCGTTCAGACCTCTCCCAGGGATGTCTTGGAGGCGGCACCCACACGGAGCAAACTCCTCTCGGAGAGCCCGCCACTCCCAGCACCGGGACCACCCCACCCCCCTCCACTCTTGTGTGATGTTGCAGTTTACAGAGCTTCCTCCTCGGATTTCTCATCCGACCCCCGGGGCAACCTTGCGAGGTGGGTATCTTTAACGTTCCCATTTCAAGGGTGAGGAGACTAAATCAGATACATGAAATGATACATGAAACGATACACGCGTCACACGGCCAGAAAGTGGCCGGGGTTGGTCCAGCCTCAGTCGGGTGTAGGGGCAGAACTCCCCGCGGGCGGGGGCCAGGTGCGGGCCGGCGGTTTCCCAGCCGCCCAGGGCTGACACCAAGAAGCAGGTGACCCTAACACCAGGTTTCCGCCAGTGCGGGGGAAAGCACCCCGATCCCACACGGCACTCACACAGGTGCAGGGCCCGGAGTCTGGGGCGCGGCGCACCCTCCCCCAACCCGCGGGCGTCCCGCCCCAGCCGGCGGCCGCCCCCTGACCTGCACCCCCGCAAAGTTGTGTCCCCCGCGCTAACACCCTGCGAGGGATCGCCCCGCGCCTTGGGGATCCCTCCAGCCCCCGTGGCCCGGAGCAATCTGAGGGGAGGACACGGGGCCAGCCTCGCTGCCTCTCCTGTAGCCTCCGGTCCCTGCCGGCCTGGGACACACGCCCCGACCCCAGTGGCAGGAGGCAGCTCCCCGCGCGTCCAGGATGGGCCGGCAGGAGGGCGCGCGGACCCGCACGCTGGGCGCACGTGCTGGCCCCGGCCCGGACCCCTGTGCCAAAGCCTCACCCAGATCGCCAGCAGCAACAGCAGCCACGCCGCCCCGGCCCGCGCCATCCCAGCCGCCGCTGCCCACGGCCGGCTCCGGTCTCCACTGGGGCTCCCGCGCCCGCAGCTCCGCCGGGTCCAAATGCCACCGCCACTTCCCAAATGCACCCCGCCTCCGAGTTCCCGGTGCCACGTCTGCCAAAGCATGCGCACCGGGCGGGGAGAGGCGTCCAGGAAGAAGTGCTTGCTGGGAGCTGTAGTTTGCAGCAAGGCTGGGCTGTAAGACCTGTAGGTGTGAAATTGGCCCCGAGGCCAAGTAGGAGCTTGAGTGGATTATGAAATGGCAAGGTCCGGGAAGGCAATTGATTTGGGACATCACTCTGTGCCTAGAACTTTAGAAACGGCCTCATTCAGCTCACAGAGGTAACTCCACCCCCCCCCTCGTCCCCCCTTCCCCCCCCCCCTCCCAACACACACACTCTTTGAGATGAGATGAAGAGTCAGCCCAGAGTCATTCAGCAGAACACACAGTCTGCAAACGGCCCGGTCCAGTGCTGATTGCAGAGGATTCCCAAAGCCCTCTTCCCTGCCCCCCAGGCTTCCACCTAACTTTTCTTTTCTTTTCTTTTTTCATTTGGAAAATACTTTATTGAGTTGTTGGAAAAAAGTTTGGCAGCTCCTCAAAAAGTTAAACATATGACCCAGCAATTCCACTCCTGCTTATATACCCAAATGAGCTGAAAACAGGTATTCAAACAAATACTTATACATCGATGTTCATAGCAGCATTATTCACAATAGCCAAGACGTGGAAACAACCATTGAGGGATAAATGTCTAAACAACAATAGAATATTTTCCAGCCATGCTACACTGTGGCTAAAAACCAAGAATATTATGCTATTAAAATGTTATGCTAAAAAGGAGCCAGACACAAGATCACATATTGTATGATTGTATGTTTGTAAACCATCTACAAATGGGTAAATCCATAGGTACAGAAGGCAGATTAGTGGTTTCCTGAGGTTGGGGGGAGGGGAGAATGGGAACACTGCTCAGTGGGTAGAAGATCTCCTTCGTGGGTGATGAAAATATTTTGGAAGTAGACAGAAGTGATGGTTGCACAACATGGTAAATGTACTAAATGCCACTGAATTATACATTTTTAAATGGTTAATTCTGTTATGTGAAGTTTACTTCCATTGAAACATTCCAAAAAAACTCGTACTGAGCTTATTCCATATGCTAAAACATTCATACATGCAATCAGTTATTCATTCTAGAACATTTATTGAACACCTACTACACCCTGAGGCACAAGATGTACAGTAATAAGATGGACAGGGAGTGCCCAGTCTATGGTTGGTAGGTAATACCTGAAAAATCCAAAGCTCAAAACCTAGAAGTCATTCTTGACTCACCCTCACTTCTCAGCAGGCCCACCCAACCCATCACCATGTTCTGTCAGTTCCACCTCCAAAATCTCTTCTGCCCACTCCTGAATCCAAGTCATTTCATGTCTCCCCGAGGCAAGGGTAAAATCTCAGAAAGCATTTGCCCGCTTCTTCTTCCTTGCACCCCAAATGATACATTTGTTAATGTCACTTGGATGTTGGTTATCACTCCCCTAAAACCCTACAATGGCTTCTCATTGCTCTCTCCAACTCCTCCCTGTGACCTGTGAGCCCAACATGGTATGGACCTGGCCCTCTAGACCTCATCTCCTGCCTCTCCTCTGCCCTTGTCCACTCAGATCCAGTCACAGAGACAGTTATTCCCTGTCTTCACCCCTCCACCCGTCTCTCCCATCCCCCTCCCCCCCCCCCCCCCACCACCACCAAGCTGCCTGTGCTTCAGGGCTCGTATTCTTCCTGTTCTTCCTGCCTCAACACTTTCCTTGGCCCATGGTCTGACTGGCACCTTCTAACCCTCCAGGACTTTCTGTATGTCGCCTTTCAGAGAGGTCCTTCAGAGCAACCCATCAAAAGGAAATTTTACTCTCCCCACCCCCAAACCAATTATTCTGTTGTTGAAGTTCCATTCATTCCTTACCCAGCACTTAACCACAATCTGTAATTACTTGCTTAGTTGTGTGTGTTCATTGCCTGTTGCTACAGCTGGACTTTAGGTTTTACATTGTTCTTGTTTGTCACCTAACTTTAGAGCCTAGCACCTGACCTGAACCTCGGTGGTTCTCTGTGTTCTTTTTGATGAACAATTGAAAGATTGGATGAGGCGATGTGTTGAGGAGTTTCAGCAATTCCCGAAGCAGGTTTGGGACGGGCTTCCTTTGCATGCTCTGCCCTGTAACCTCCAGCTCATGATCTGCATATGGGAAAGTGGGACTTTCAGCTCCTCTGTGCTTCTCATTCTGGGTCTCTGTTTCTCATCTGTAAAATGAAATGGCCAGTGAGGCTGTAGAGCAACTGTACTTCCCTACATTGCTGATGAGAGTGTATATTGGTTCAACCACTTTGGACAATGGTACCTGTGCAAAATATATACACACATGTTTATAGCAGCTTTATTCATAGTAGCTGTTATGGACTGAATGTGTCTCCTCCAAAGCTCTTATGGTGAAGCCCTAGTCCCTCAGAATGTGGCTGTAGTTGGAGATGAGGCTTTTAAAGAAGGTTAAATGAGGTAATTGGGGTGAACCCTAATCTAATGTGACAGAGAGAAGATACAAGCCAAGGAGAGAGGTCTTCAGAAGAAACCAACCCTGCCGACATCTTGATCTTGGACTTCTAGCTTCTAGAATCATGAGAAAAATAAATTTCTGTTGTTG